GGATCAGCTCCTCGGTGACTTGTTCGGCCACTTGCTCCTCCACCTACTCCGAATCGGAGGCTTCCAAACCAATCTACCTTAGGTTTTTGAAGTTAGGGAAGACAAGGGCCGTAAGCTGCTCCTCGCTCCTCGGAATCGGAATATTGTCTGACGCCGAAAATGTTGAGTAAGTCGACTCGTATCTCAGAAGAATGTAGGCCGCCCTCCCTTGTTTTTGAAGGTTTGGACGGCCAAAGAACTAGAGTGCAATTTTAATTTCCGTAAGCATGGCGTCGTCGGCCGAAACCAAAACCTTCTTCAAATCATTGCCTGCACAAATAAAACGATAAGTACATAGAAGATAAGCCGAGTAAAAAAAAAGGAACACATAAGGAACTATACAGCCACCTGGTTCGCCTTTTCGTCTAGGCACGGTATCTAGGCGATCTTCACCCTCGCCGAATTCCCAGTTGCCTCGGACAACGACCATTACATCGTCAACACGCTTGCCAGAGCTGGCAAGCATAGTCACTAAGTGATGGTCGGTGTCCTTGGCCCTGAGAAAATAGCACCCTTGCCGGCTAGAAGATTTGGCCAAGGCATAACAATGTTGAATAGCAAGTATACCAAGATTGATCCTAAGGCGTCGGTTCAACTCTATAATCCACATTATGATTCGAAAAAAATTTATATTAGGTTGGGAATGGATTAGACCCCTATAGCGATCCCGGTTGTCCCTTTACTGTTCTGTTGTATTCCAGACTCGGTTCCATGGAGTTGGTAGTTGTATCTATCTTGTTGTCGTCCTTTAATTCCATTTGTTTGAGTTTTAGGATGTGTTGGGCATGTTTTATACAGGTGGGTTGAACCTTGGTGTAAAATCTTGTTGCCAGGTTTTTGGTCGTTCCGCTCGAGCGAGCCTTGTTACGTTCGAGCGGAGATTGCACACTCCCAGTATTTCGTGTCCCTGCAAAACTTCTGCAGGTGTGCTTTTTACGCTCGAGCGGCCGCGCTCAAGCGGGTACTCTGGCGCTCGAGCGGGTAATACTTTTTGGTGTAAGTTCTGGGAGGGGGAAATCTACGCTCGAGCGGACTGGTTTTCACGCTCGAGCGGATGTACTTTATTCTTGTGTCTTGGCGCTCGAGCGGGCCTTCTTGCGCTCGAGCGTACCTAGTTTTTTGTTCTTGACGCTCGAGCATTGTGTTCTCCGCTCGAGCGGGAATGTCGTATATCAGTTGGTAGCTGGGCATTTTAAAATCACTTTTTACATTCTCTCTCTCTCTCTTACTTTCTAAAAAGATATTTTGAGAGCTCCTCTCTCTAGAAACTCCCTTCTCTCTAGGGTTTGATCTAGTTAGAGTGTCTCCCTATCCTCCGACCTTTGTAAAAAGTGTGTTGATCGTCGAGGGCTCCATTTTGATCTGTGGATATTTGAGTTTGGAGCATTTTGGTTTTCTTCAACTTTCCCGTTTGAGCTCTAACTTCGAGGTAGGAATATCCTACTCCTCTTTATGAGCTTTGTCTTTGAATTTTAGCATTTTGATATGTTGGGGGTTGTTGGGTAATTTTGAGAAAGTTTGGGCCTTTGTGTAATTTTACCAAAGATGGGGTTTTATTTATATTTAAACCTATACGCATGCTTGGCATAGAGAAATGATATAGATGATGAACTATGGATAAAGTGGAACCTTGGGGTTGTTATGTTAATTATGGGAAAATGCCCTAATTAGTTGGATAAATTAATTTGTATAATTAATTTTGAGAAATGAGGGATTGAATTGAGAGTATTCAAATTGAAAAGATTATGGGACGAACGAGTGTAGTTGGATTCATTTAATCACTCACTCAGATTGAATGTTGATAATATATCCATTTGGTACATTTATTTCCTGTTTAGAAATAACTGCTTTGGGCTATCGGTGGAAGATAGTCTTTATTGTTGTAGACAATGCATGATGATTAGGCAAACTAAAACTAATCAATTGAGTATGCTATTGAATATAGCGGTTGGAATAATACATCAACTTTATGTATTGATTGTTTGTGTATATGATCTATGTTTTTATACATTGTGTGTGTGTAGGAGGAGATAGGAGATGTACTCCACGGTTTAGTGGAAGATACGGGATGGACCTCTAAGCCGGATTGTGTGTGACATTGATACAGCACTACCATGTGTATCAAGTGTTGATTATGGAAGTGTTTAAATTGATTTGATATAGCACTAAAATATATATCGTTATCAATTGTGAGATATAGAAGTGTTTCTATGTTATGTTGATGCAGCACCAAAATGTGTATCGTTTGTATAGTATGGAAGTGGTTTATGTGTTATTGATACAGCATTATAAGTGAGTGTATCGGTGTTGACCACCTATCAACTGCTAATCTTTTGGTCATTGTTCATAGCTGGTTTAGTGTATTTCTGCTGGGCTGTGGCTCACCCTTTATGGGACATCATTTTCAGGTACAGGTAGCATGCCACCTCCAAGGACATAGCTTGGGAGGCTAGAGGCAGACAGACTGCTTTGTTATTTGCTTTCTTTTGATGTATTACATGTAAATTCAAGCCAAGGGCTTAATATGTATTGAGTTAGTACTCTTCTTTTTGTAACCAAGTGTTAACTTGGAAAACTGTAAGCCCGTAGGGCATTTGCTTTTGTTGTTAACATGTAATACTTTTGTAAGAACTACTCAGATTAATGGAAAGATGGTTGGTTTCTTTGTATCAATGCATGTCTAAAGAGATGGGTTTTATGTATTTTTTTGAGGGCGTTACAACCCCAGTGGCGAAGGACGGCCCTTAAAAATGGATGAAAGGGGAAATGGATTCCGCTCTCAGCAATTGATAGGAGAGGAAAGATGATTGTACTTTCATCAGTCCTCTCCATATCAATGGTACTGTCTTCCATGAGTGACAGATGGACATCGTTGGGGATGAAAAAATGGTGTTGAAAACCAGAAATTCGATCCGTAGAAAGGAGGTCTTTCAAATGTTTTGTCATCCTAGCCAACATAAAGAGTATGCAAGACTAAAAACAAACAAAGGAATGAAATTCGAAATGAAGGAGAAGAGAACTTACAAGAAGCAGAAGAGACAATGAGAAACGGGAGAAAGTTGCAAAGGTCATGAAATGGAGGTATACTGAAAGGCAGACCAGAAGCTTTGAGTATTCAAAAACATATATTCAAAGGGACAACATAGTTTCAAATCGCATTAAATGAAGAAAGCGTACGAAAAGGCGGGAAAACGTAATAATGCCTAAAAAACGTGTATGTTCTGACATGCTTTGGAATTAGATTAACCGCCGTTTTTTCTTCAACTTTTCAAGTTCCAGCTAGCTTTTGAATCGAATTGCAGCAAGGGATGCAAGCCACATACTTACTCAAGCCTTCCTTACACTTCTTTTTCTTTTTCAAGTTCGATAGAAAATTTGTATGTCTTCTTCAACACAAAATGATACAAAGTAGCACAACGTAATTAAAAAAGATACACAGAAAAAGAAAAAGTAAAAGTGATTATGCACACAATTATTCCAAGGAGAGAAAAAGAAAACAGAGAATTTCTTTATGGGACAAATGTAAATAAGACCATTCTTTGTTTGTAACAGTTCACCAACCACGTTAAACATGACATTGAAAATATTACATATCAAAGTTTTAAGCAATACACTTCACGGTAGAGTTAGGATTCGATCACTACAATAAATATTGAATTTTAAAAATTTTACTTTGCACCAAAAAATAGGGTTAGATTAGTGATTGACAAAATTTTCTACCTAACCTCATTTATGGTTTTCAAATTTTTGTAACACCATATAAGATGATATTACTGTTATACTTTATTTTTTGTTTTTTGTTTTTTAACGGTAGGTATCAAAAGAAAGGTATATAGTTTGTCCAACAAATAGATAATGATTACGCTTATTATTATTATTTTCAAACAATATATAGAACACACACAAACAAAATAGTTGAGTGATAGCAGCTGAATAGAATAGCATATGTCTTACAGTTTCAACAAATCAATAATATATTCTTCATCTTCTCTCTTCTCTCTCTCTATCTCTTACCCCTCTATCTTCCCTCTTCATCTTCTCCCATTTTCAGCTTATTTTTTTTATTTTTTTTCGAAAAAAGCAATTTGGAACTGTTACGTAACGGTGCATAACTAACCGTTACGGCCATTACTATACCATTACGACCACTACGACAGCCACACCTGTGAATCTCAATTACACCGTAAAAGTGACAGTAACCACCACAACGTTGCGCAACGATTACGACTACTATTTAAAACCTTCACTGAAATCATTCTTGAACAGACATTCTAATAAAATGCAACAAGTTAAGGAATCAAGCCACTCTTTCATTTTGGTCGCATGATGTCGGAATTTTGTTTGACCAAAGTGCTGTGCTTCACACAAAAAGTTCCACCCAATTAAAGTTCCATCTGCATCAACATGCCGAGCTACATGGACAAATCTAAAATGTCAATAAAACAGAGTCCAAGTTATCACACTTTCTACAGCATCAACGCAAGGCAGAGTACTCTGTTTCTCTGCAGTGCAAAGTTTACTATTATTGAAGTGACATTCAAATTGCAATCCAAACTTTTTATTGAATAAAATCTACAGCATTTAAAACCCCCCTTCTTCTTTTTTTGTGTGCAGGAAATGATGTTTGTCACGCTATGAATTTTGTCAATTTTTTTTTTGTGTACATATGACATTCATCCTACATTATAATTATATCCATGAAACAAGTTAGAAAATATACATCTAGCGATATAAAGCATCTCCTTTTTTGCATTTTTCTTTTTTGTGTTATAATTTTCTTTATACCTTTTGGTACTTGTTTTCATTCAACGCACCAATATCCATTTTTCATTTTTCAAACAGAGTACTATGTGATTAATTTTAAGGGCCATGTTAAAGTGTGCCATTAGGATTAGGGGTTTAAAAAAAAATCCTATACAAGGGTAGTTAGTACTTTTTTCCAGTGTTCTTGATGGAGATAAGAAGGAACAGAAAAACACATCCTGGTCAATTATATTAAACAAAATTATGGGGAATTATTTTTATTCACTTCAGTGTTTATTGGTCATCAAACTGAAGGGAAGAAAACTGGGAGACAAGAACTGAAAACACACACGTACAGATGGCTTATACATGAATATTTGTATGACGGAAAAAGTTAGGGATCATGAAAATTTTGTCATGAAATGATCATGAAAAATTTATGATCCTTGGATTACCTTGATTAGTGTGTGGTGTTTTATTCTAAGTGTAATCCAAGGGTCATAAAGTTTTCATGATTATTTTCATGACAAAATTTTCACGATACCTAGCATTACTGTTTGTATGACAAACAGAATCTAGTTAATTACTAACCACTAAGTCGTTCCCAGGTACCTTCTTAATTGTACCAAAGACAAGCTTAGTATAGAGTGGTAATTGCGCCATGGTAAAAATTGTAATGGGTAGAAATACAACTAAATATTCGGCAATCCATGCGTCTCTTAGCACGCCTCTGAGAACGAAGAAATGTCCACCGCAAAATGATACCAACATAGAAGCCATGGATATGAAGAGAGCGCTCAAACCAATTAGGAACTTTCTAGGCAAGTCAGTGCCAAAATCCATGATTTGGTGTCGAGAGGTGAGAATGGAGAGAAACATGACCACTGCTGTTAGTGAAAAGCAGAGTGCTACAAGTGATGAGATTGCAAACACCTCAAACATGCGTTGTTGTTTGAGAATGGGCTCTCTGTTTTTCCCCTTAACGCCGCCAGGCACGTTAGCCGATGTGGCAAAAGCGACCGTTGCCATGAGTGTTGCAACGATGGTGCATGACTCTGAGGCTTTGTTTAGCCACTCGGTGTCACTTTTCACGAGCTCTCTGTGTTCCTCCCTGAAGGTTTCTTCCGGTGTCTTGCCTCTGTCGTTTTGGTAATTCAACAAATATTTTGGCACAGAGTTCTTAATAAACTGCAGTATGGATTAGAAGAGAAAAAAAAAAAAAACTATTATCAGTCATGTTGAAGCTTTAGACAGCTGATCAAATATATATTAGTTTTTGATAAAATGTACTAGCAAACTAGCCTCTGTACCTCGTACCACTTGGTTTCCCATTGCATTTGAAGCACAACACTTGGATCGAGCCAAGGCCTATCAGTACTAAGAATTGCAGCAAGATGCAATACACTGTTTCCATTATCATCCACATAATCGAACAAATTATTTGTTATATGGTTTCCATCTTGCAACAATTTGTAGATATGGAGTTGCCTGTTTTCTACTGCCAAAAGCATCAAGTTCTTTCCCTCTGAGTTCACGTCATGTATAGCCATAGGAAAAGAGTTAAGAATATCCTTTACTATTTCACCAATACCATTCTTTGTCGCAATTATTATCGGTGTATCTGCAGCAAGAAAAATCTCAGAATTTCAATATTTTGCCAATATAGATTTCCATTATGCCACTTGATTTTCATGAGGTGGTGTTACAGTAGTGGAGGTGCGGCAGGTGCCATAGGTTGTGTTGTGTTGTGGAGGTGCAATAGGTGGTGGTGGCCAAGGTAGCAATGTGGTGAAGAAGATGGAGGAGGGGTAAATTTTTTGTATTTTCTAATTTTGGGCTAGAATTGATTTTTTCAAATTTTCATGAATTACCTGTGGGCATGGGTCGGGCTAGGATCGAGTTTACTAATAGATGTCAAAAATTAGCCCAAACTAGGAAACAATGAATAGGTGAGCGACAAAGTGAGAAAAAATATATTTTAGGTAGTAAAGTGAGAAAGGGATAATATTTTAGGGGTGGAAGTGTAATTTATCTAAAATTTTAATTATGTAATAGATATTAGGAGAAATAAAAAATAATCAGCTTGTTTAGTTTGCGTTTTTAGGATTTACTATTCAGAAAATTAATTTTTTTTTGTTTTTCATCTTTTTTTTAAGCAATTTTTAAAATTTTTAGATATACTTAACATAAATATACTTAAAAAAATATAATACTTATAAAAAAAATCTTTAAAAAATTCATTAAATACCAAAAATATAATAATTCATTACATTTTCTTATTCTTGTGTATTTATTGATTTTTTAAAATATTTTATTTTTTAGATTCATCTTAGTAAGGTGCATCTAAAAAAGTTTTAAAAAAAAATTACTTAAAATTTTAAAAATATTCACTAAAAATAAAAATTAAAAAAAAAAACAAGAAAACAAAAAATTTATTTTTCAAAAAATTGAATCACGAGAATTGAAACAAAACACAATGAATAGTACTTTTGAAAAATAATTATATATTTTAAATACCAAAAATATAATAATTCATTACATTTTCTTATTCTTGTGTATTTATTGATTTTTTAAAATATTTTATTTTTTAGATTCATCTTAGTAAGGTACATCTAAAAAAGTTTTAAAAAAAATTGTTTAAAATTTTAAAAATATTCACTAAAAATAAAAATTTAAAAAAAAAACAAGAAAACAAAAAATTCATTTTTCAAAAAATTAAATCACGAGAATTGAAACCAAACACAATGAATAGTACTTTTGAAAAATAATTATATATTGTAATAGCCTTTACCCACTTTAATGATTAAAATCATACATTTTTTTTTATTAATATGTAATTATTTTTTTAAAAATCGTTGATTAATTAAGCTACGCACAAATTGATCTCAACATCCAATTATTATAAAAAAAAAAAAAAATTAATAATAATAATTGACAAAGATGGTCATTGCCTTGGGAACATGTATTAAAAAATTTTAAGAGCAACGGAAAGAAACAATATTAAAAAATTTTAAGAGCAACGGAAAGAAACAAGCAGTGATCACCTATCTTTCTTTTCTTCTTTTGGTTGCTTTTGTAGGAATCTTGATCGCCTGTCACATGAATTCAACAATCTCACCGCATCATGATCTGCTAATTATCCAAATAATATAATGACAAACTCTTGTTTCTATTTGCCATGCGGAGCTTAGAGAAAAGACATAACGAGAATATATAAAATAAAATAAAATAAAAAGTAAAAGATATCACATTAGCTCGCAGTAGGAGTTGAGTAGCGGATATACTGATTCGTTTAAATTAATCGAATCAAACTGATCCGTCGCATTATGAACGGATGCGTGATGACGAGCAGACGGTTGCGGATTAATTTTTTTTCAATCTGCCTAGTTTTGGACGGATGACAGATTTGAGATTCCTTTAGCCGCAACTGAACTGTCAAATCGCAAGTACTCCTAATAATTTGTAAAACTTTATGTCTTCAATTTGTTTAGATATTCTATTTGTGTTTTCAATTGAAAAAGAATTTAAATATTTTGTTAAATATATTCTGTTGTAAAACAGTTTTTAACTTGAAAATATTTTTTTAATTAAAAAAATAAATGTATTACTTATCTATATTTTTTTGTTTTTAAATCTAACTCTAAAAATAATAAACAAAAAATATGATATATGATATATGTTGGTTGGTTTTTGTTTTCAAAAACATATATAAATGTAATAATACAGAGGCATACAATCTCTACTAATACTATGTTCATGGTTTTAGTGGTTTGAATTGTTTCTATATTTTAAGAATCACATATTGTAATACTTTTTGTGTATGAGACATATTGTGATTGTAATATGTGGATGTGGCATGCAGGGATTGTAATATTCCAAAGTTTCAAAAAAAATTCTTTGGATGAGGCATGCAGTAATTGTAATACTTTTTTTAAGTCATTGATTGTAATACTTTTTTTTTTAGGAAGCGTACAAGTTTAATTATGTTGAAAATTTATAAAACACCAAATCGATTTACACCCATCCACATCCGCCAATCCACTCAATACACATTTGCTAGATTGACGGACAGATGACGGATTAAAAATTCCTTGACCTCAATCAACCCGTGCTCATCCCTAGCTCGCATCCGTTGTTTTAAGCACAACATCATTCTCAATTCAATAAAATTATAATAAAAAAATCATACAAAAAAATCAAAATTTAACCATTGTAATAAATTAAAATTTTAATTTTATCAATTTAAATTTTAATATTTTTATTTATTTTGAATCTAAACTACTTTTTTAAACAAAACCAACAAAAAAATATATATTTTATTTATTAAAATTCAATATAAATATACATAAAACATATAGAATAGTTTTGTGTCAGTTTTACTAATAGACATAGTTTTTGAACGAGGGAATACCTTTCTTCTTTTGGTTATCTTGGCTGGTGTCCCAATGGCTCTGACTAAAAATGATGTGAGGCATGACATCACGATTCTGATCGGAAACTACACTGAAGTCAAACGTGGCATCAATCTCATAGCGTGACGTGGGTTCGCTTCCAGTCGCTTTATAGTCATAAGAGGAAGTATGTTCAACAAGTTCATTCACGATCTTAACAAAGTATTGGTGCTTTGTTTTCAACTTCAGTAATCGTTTTGGAAATAAAATCATTTTCCACGAGAGTCCTAACAACATATAGCAAAAATCAACTGTATTATAATAATGTGAAATTATATATATATATACACAGACTAACAGGTGTTTTGAAAACTTAGTTAAAAGTCAATCTGATTTTGAATCTATTTTGAGTAAGGAAAATGTTTAAGGGCCACAATTTTTGTGGCTCAAATGGCTCAAAATTGTCAAAACGACGTCGTTTTGACAATTTTGAAGTTGTTTTATACTCAAAACGACGTCGTTTTAGCAATTTCGAGCCATTTGAGCCACAAAAATTGTGGCCCTCAATCATTGCTGTTTGAGTAATATCATTTCATTTATTTTTTTATATTTTTTTTCAATTAAAAAAAGTAAGAAAAAAAAATTAAAAAGTCAATTTTTAACTAACTTCCCAAAACAACTTTAAGATAAATTAAACTTTATTCCTTTTATGTTTTATCATCTTTTTCATATTGACTCTTAACTACATGTTTGGTCATATATTAGGATAAAATGTAATTTAACAATTTTGATATAAATAAAACACTTATTTTTCAAAGCTTTATTTCTTTTCTTTTTTTATACTTGAAATAATTTTTTCAAATTTAACTATTTCAAACTTATTACCTTTTTAGCTAAAAAGTCAAAAAATTATCTTTTTAGCCAAAAAGCCAACAACTCATACCAAAAAGTCAAAGATTCTCTTTTCTCTCTAGTTTTTGCACATGTTTTCGTAATTAGCCAAAAAGTCATCCCAAACATATAAATTTTTTTTACCTACTTTTTTTATCTATCTATACTATTATAAAGTGAACACATAATATGGTGTCTTGAAACTTGCTTTACTCTCCTCATGCCATGTGGCAGTCTTCTTTTTTATTTTTTTAAAAAAAAAGTTAAACAAAGAGATGGACAAGGCTTGAACCCATGACCATGGGTTTAAGTATGAAGACTCATACCACTTAAGCTAAGTACACATTATAATATTAATTTCATTATTATTTTCTTTTATTCCTCTTTATTTAATTTGCACACACATGGTGTGTGCCCAACCGCTAGTATATATATATATACAGTCTAAGGGGTGTTTTGAAAACTTAGTTAAAAGTCAATCTGATTTTTAATCTATTTTGAGTAATATCATTTTATTTATTTTTTTATATTTTTTTTCAAAAAAAAAAGTAAGAAAAAAAAATTAAAAAGTTAATTTTTAACTAATTTCCCAAAACAACTTTAAGATAAATTAAACTTTTTTCCTTTTATGTTTTATCATCTTTTTCATTTTGACTCTTAACTATATGTTTGGTCATATATTAGGATAAAATGTAATTTAACAATTTTGATATAAATAAAACACTTATTTTTCAAAGCTTTATTTCTTTTCTTTTTTTATACTTGAAATAATTTTTTCAAATTTAACTATTTCAAACTTAATAACCATTACAATTGATTTAATAAGTGTTACACACACACACACACACACACACAATATATATATACCGACACATAGTGCATGTTTGGTGCAGCTTAAAAGTTGCTTATTTCAGCTTAAAAGCTGCTTATTTCAGCTTTCAGCTTAATTTAAGCTATTTTGATGTGTTTGGTTTAACTTAACAATGTAGCTTATAGCTTGTTGTAAGTCAGAAATCAGCTTATTCTTTGAGTGGGCCAGGAGATGCTTAATTTATAAGTCAGAAATCAGCTTATATTCATAGTTATAAGCTATAAACTGTTAAGACATAAGTTATAAACACTTTCCCACAACTCTACCAAACAGAACCATACACTCATAACAAGTAAATACTAATATGAGATTATATGACCTTTCTACAACAAAAATCAAAACAATCCGATATGGACAGAGCAGTCTACAGATGAGCTACTCCTTTGTGATAAGCTCTCAATTCAACTATATTTCTATATATAATATATATAATTAAAAGATTATAATTATTTCCTCAATTTAATTTTTACATAAATAATATAACTTATTATTATGATAGATCTCAACAAGTCCAATCATTACTGTCAGGTAAAATTGAGAAAAGTTTGCCCCTACTGCTTTTTATCACAGTTTAATCATCATTTCATCTGTGATATAATAGGTCTATTACTATTGTCTATTTCTAATGCATAAATATGAGTTGGTAAATACGATTAAAATTAAATTGGTAAATTACACTTGTTTTTCCTGAGACAATTACAGGAATTTTCTCTATAATTTTAATAATTATACTAACGTACTTTACTTTTGAAATTATTATAAAGATTTCCTCACCGTTATCATCCGTTACGCTATTTGTTCATGTCAATGCTAATGTCATATCAACAATGACGAAATTATCGTTTAGATACCTTATCTATTCAAATGAGTAATTTCCTTATAATTTAATATAATATTTAAATTATGAGGAAAAAAACTCTTAAATTATTAAAATATTATTAAATCATTTAATAGGAAAAAAACTAAATTTTTATTAATAAAATATTTAAAAATAAGCAATCTCTCTAAAATTAATGTTAGATAATATCTTAATAATTTAATATAAGACTTATTTTACACTACATAAACAACGTAAATTTTTTCATTTTAAGTAATGCACTTATTATTTGAATTTTTTTTAAAAGTTAAAATAAATGAATTTATATTTTTTCAAAAAATTTGCATTACTTATTTATTCATATGTACAAACATTATTATTTTATCTTTTCTCTATCATATATTATTCTCAAATTTTAATTTTTATCTTTGGGTCGTTAAACTTCTAGTCAATGCATATTTAAATAAATGCAAGTTAATATTTTTACATGATTAAAAAAATAAAAAAAAATATGAAAATAAAAAAAAATATAATCACCTCACAATAAATTAAAATTAGATGATAGGGAATGAAGGATCATGAAATCTTAAATCTTAGAATTAATTTCTAAAATTGATTAATGGTTATATATTATTTTATTTTATTCTATAAAAGTTCAAAAACTTGTGGAAAAAAATAGAGTCAAGAAATTACATTTATATTTTGAAAAAATTATAAAAAATAAATAATAATTTCATATATATTTAATAGAGTAAATTAAATTTAGTGCATATAAGGTTAATATTAATGTTGATAACCATGGAGGAGGCAATTTTTTTTTTTACTTCTATATTTATTTTTCTTAATTTTTTAATTATGTGAGAAATATTAACTTACTTTTTTTAAATACGCATCAACAAGAAGTTTAATGGTGCAAAGATAAAAATTAAAATTTGAGAATAATATTGAGTGTGGTGAAAGGGGTTTTAGGAATACTCTTGGCTCCTAGTAGACACTCTTGACCCTCAGGTTTAATTAGTTAGTCGGCCCTCCAGCTCAAGTCGGCCCCCTGGGTAGAAAATTGTGTGCGTTGCTGCGATCTCCTGGGTAGGGCCGATCTGTGTATGGCCCTGTCTAGTGGGCCTGGCATGTTGATTAAAATTCGTCCCCCACAATTGCCCCCCGAACACCCTGCTAGTCCCGTTCAGTCGGCATGTTCGGCTCGCATAAACTTTTCGCTCGGCTCGTAGACAGAAAAGTTAGAGTGAAAATACGACAGTTGCACTCCTTTCAATACTGAATCGTCAGAATGGATACTATCAGAAATCATTACAACTTCCCGCTTCTTTGTACTCGACATTCATTTAATGCGATTTGAAAACGCGTTGTCCCCTTAAGCTTTTCGAATTGAAGGGCTCTTGGGTTGTTCAGTATTCTTCCTTACCTTTCCTCCAAGACCTCTGCGATTTTTGCCTGCTCCTCACTGTTCTTCCCTTTTTGACTTGTAAGTCCTTCTCTCCTTTGCATTGCTACCTTATTCCAGTTCGTTTTGCTCTTTTCTTTTGTTTGTTCTTTTTTATTTGGCATATTTTCTATTCTGTTTCAAATGGTGAAACATTTGAAAGCTCTTCTCTCTGAGGATCGTATCTCCACCTTTCGTCGCCATTTCTCAATCCCAGACGATGTCAATTTGTCCCTCGTAGCGGACAATGTGCTTGGCATGGAGAGAACTGATGCGAACACGATCATTTTTCCTCTTCTGTCAATTGCTGAGGGCGAAGTCTGTTTTCCCCTTCATCTTTTTTTGAGGGCCGTTTTACGCTTTTGGGGTTTGATCCCTTCCCAACCTAATGTAAACTTTTACCGGATTGTAATGGGCATAGTAGAATTGAATCGCTGACTTAGACTTAATCTAGAGATTCCAGCTATTCGGCATTGCTATGTCTTGGAGAAATCATCCAATTGGCAAGAACGTTATTTTCTCAGAGCCAAGGACACAGATCACCAGTTGGTGACTATGCTTGTCATTTCCGGCAAGCGAGTTGACGACGTCATGGTCGTTGTCCAAGGCAACTGGGAATTCAACGATGGTGAAGATCGCCTTGATCCTGTGCCTAGACAAAAAGGCGAGCCAGGTGGCCGTATAGACTCATTTTTTGTTTCTTCGTAAATGTATTCAGCTTTAATTTTGTATATTTACCTTTTCTTTTGCGTGCAGGAAATAATCTAAAAAGAGCTCTTACTTCGGCCGATGATGTTGTGCTTGTGCAGATCAAGGCTGCACTTGAATATTTCGGCCGTCCAAACCTTCAAAAGCACGGGCGCGCGCCGCCCACCTGCTGTTAAGATACGACCCCACATATTCAACTTTTTCGGCTACTGACCACATCCCAATTCCAAGGGGTGAACAGCATCTTACAGCACTAATTTTCCCAAGCTTCAATAGTCTAAGGGACATTGCTCTAAAAGGCGGTGAAGACAGTGATCAGATCATCGACTAGCCGAGCCAGTCCAACTCGGGCGGGTCTAAAGATCTTTTAGGGGAGGAGATAGGTAGAGCGTTGAGTTTGGCCTTTGAAGAAGTCTGCTCTAACTCTCCTTCCACCTCGGGCCGAATAGATCAATCTCCCTTGGAGGACGACATCTTTACTGACCTGGGAGACTTACCCGGCGCAGACCCTGAGAACATGGCTGGGGAATCATTAGCGCAATTTGCGAGAAGAAGAAATGTCGAAAGATTGGTGGCGAGAAAAAGGGTTGAAAGCTTTGGAACTCAACTCCAACCGGCGGCTCTTGTTGAGGAAACGGAATCATTGCAGGCATCATCTACCAAGTTTAGACACTCCCAATAACGTGCCGAATACTCACGGATGGTCTTTTCTGGTTTAATTTGCATCGCCTAGAGAGAGTCGACTTGCTTCGACTGAGCCTCATTGGTGATGAATCTAGCCGTGAAGGACTTTTGGAGTTGATGAAAACTTTTTATTGACTCCGGCTCCAGTTTATAATACCATCGGATGGCCAATGGTTCCAGGCTACTTGGAAACATTCGACACATGAGGGCTTCATCATCAGCATGCAACGTCATCGCTTTCTTGTAATGACAAATGTGGTCCGTGGAGTCTAACTTTCCATCGTACAAGATGAATGTTGGTACTTTGAACTTTTTAGGCTGTACAACCTTTGTAATGCGTCGTACGAAAGGGTCGTGCTTGTCCTCTTCATCTGAACCATCACTTTTTTTCCCACGTCTATGTCGTACATATGGACTTCCCTCGGATGAGCTAGATACATCAACTCGCCCCTTCTTTCTGGGTTCTTGAGATGGCGAGTCGGAATCATTGCCACTATCATGTTTCCAATGTCGACGTCGTCGATCATCCTTCTTCTTCTCTAGCGATTGCCTCTATGTGACCTGTTGGGATTTGGTTAACTCCAGGGCCAATTCCTTACGTAAGCACTCGTTATCAGCCGCCATATCTTCCAGGCATTATTTATTTCGTTTTTCTTGATCCATGATCATCTACATAGTCTCCTGCATAGAGGTTGAGGGTGAGGTTTGAGCGAAGTTCAAGGCCCTTCACGCGGTGATATTCTCCGGTCCAAGCATGTTTCTTGGAGTAACATCATCTCTCGGTGTACCATCGTCAGCAACGAGCGAAGGATCATCTGTTACGCCTGCCATGAACGCACTTGAGTATTCCCACAAACGGCCCCAATTGTGGTGAAAGGGGTTTTAGGAATACTCTTGGCTCTAGGTTAGGGATGGCAATTTAAACCCGGCCCGACGGGGACCCGACCTCGAATAGAACGGGTTTTCCCCGAAAATTATCCCCATAGGGTCGGGGATGGTATTAAAAATTAATTCCCTGATGATTTTCGGGCCGAGGACAGGGATAGGTTTCCCGGACCCGCCCCCGCCCCCGGCCCTGACCCCGAATGAACCCTGTATAATTCCCGAATATATATATGTATTTAGGTTACTTTTTGAGACTATACACTCACCTCTCTTCTCCACTCACACTCACCTCTCTTCTCTCAGACTCTCTCTCTCTATGTTGCGGTGCTCACGGGACGGCGCCTCTCAGACTCTCTCCCTCCCTCTCTCTCTCTCTCTATGTTGCGATGCTCACGGCTCGGCGTCGACGTCTCCGCCTCTCTTTCTCACCGATGTCACTCCTCCCTCAAGGCGTCACGGCGGCGGCTCCTCTCCTCTCTCACTGGCGGTAGCTCCTCTCTCTCTCTCACGGTATGTCCTCTCTCTCTCTCTCATGGTATCTTCTCCTCCTCTCTCTCACGATATCTCCTCTCTAGTTACTGTCTCTCTCTCTCTCTTTGTTTTTTCATTTTGTTCTTCAGATCTGGAAGTTCTGGTCACCGGTGCCAAGATCCGAGTTGAGGAGTGAGAGACGAATCTGGTGTATGCTAGAGTTTCGCCATTTCTACTGTTGAATCTGTCGAATATTTATGAGTGAAGAGACGAATTTGGGTGTGTTGCTGTTGATGATCCTCAAATCTGTTGTTGTTGTTAGATCTATTCTTAAATCTGTTATTGTTGTTGTTCATGAGGATTAAATCTGTTGTTAAATTTGTTATTCAATATTTGATCTGAAGCTGAATTTTTTTTTTTTTTGGCTGGGGACTTTTCGGGGTCGGGGAAACCCGATCCCTGTTGGAGGGCGGGGGCAGTGACAGGTTTCCCGTCGGGGATCGGGGCCGGGGGTATTTTCACCATCGGGGATCGGGGACGGGGAGTGCGATCCCCGGCCCTGCCCCGCCCCGTTGCCATTCCTACTCTAGGTAGACGCTCTTGATCCTCTAGTTGTTATCTAACTCTGGTTGCTATCTGAAAAATGAATGAACACTTTTACCGGGGGTGTCGGAATTAGCACTCCAACGAACAAGTCAATATCCTCTCAAGTTTTACTTCTATTTCAAGGTATCTCTTTAGTTTTCACATACCTACTTCTAGCTATTGTTCCTTCTTTTATACTGCTTTGGCCCCATGGGTGGGCCCATACTTGCCTCTTTAATTAGTTAGTTGCCCTCCAGTTCAGTCGGCCTCCTGGGTAGAAATGAATTGTGTGCGTTGCTGCGATCTCCTACGTAGGGCAGATCTGTGTACGTCCTTGTCTAGTGGGCCTGGCATGTTGATTAAAACTCGGTGGGGACATTGAGAAAAGTTAAAATAATAATCTTTTTCCATATGAATAAATAAGTAATGCAAATTAGCGAGAAAAAATAAATATATTTATCTCAACTTTAAAAAAAATTAAATAATAAATGTATTACTTAAAATGATAAATTTTACGTTATTTGTGTAGTGTAGAATAAATCTTATATTAAATTATTAGAACGTTATCTAACATTAATTTTAGATAGATTATTTATTTTTAAGTATTTTATCAATGAAAATTACGTTTATTTTTATAAATATTTTAATAATGTCTTAACAATTTAGAGATAAATCATTTTTTTACATATGAATAAATAAGTAGGACAAATTGTTGTGAAAAAAATGTAATCCATTAGTTTCAACTTAAGAAAAAAAAATTAAATAATAAACGCATTAATTAAAATTGATAAATTTTTCGTTGTTTATATAGTGTGAAATAAGTCTTATATGTATTATATTATTAGGATCTTATATTAAATTATTAAGGTATTATGTTAAAATATGCATGTATCTTTAATAATATATATGAAAAACTTCAAGGGAAGTGAGTGAAAAATTTCATTAAAATAGCTTATTGGTTGTTGAATAAAAAAAAAAGTTTATTGGTTGATTTGATAATTTTCATCTTCTCGCTCAATTCAAATGGGTAATATAATCATTTTGGATAGTCAATTAACGTCATTGTGCTAAATTAACAGAGTGTGAGATTCTTGATATTGTCAGCAAAAATAAGGAAGATTTTTGTAATTATTGAAATCACAAGAGAAGTTCTTATATTTCTCAGAAACCTTAAGGGAGGTAAGTGTAATTTACCCAAAATAAATAAACACGATTGTGATTGGTTTTAGGGAAACATTGTAGTGTGTATACACCTTATAATTAAAAAGAAAAATAGAATAACTTTAATTTTTCAAGTCATAACTAAAAAAAAATGTCATAACTAAATATAACATGAAATATAACTAAAAAACTCATGAATTATAATTAAAATAATATTATAACTAAAAAAAAAAAAATTAATCATAATTAAAAAAATAATAATTAAAGATACATAGGCTTCGTTTGGGAAGCCATGACAAAAAACAAAATAAGTTATTTTAGCTATAACAAACAAAACATCATATCTAATCCATAATCATTACATTCTTCTCTCACAAAAAAACTCAAAAAAGCCCAGAAGTCAAAAAGCCATTTCCAAACCAAGCTTTTAAACCCAGGCTAAAATAGCCAAAAAAACCAAAAAGTCAAAAAGCAAACTCACTTCCCAAACGGAGGCATAGTATAACATACGCTTTTTAAATGGGTGTATGCTAGAATTTCCCCTTACCATAGTTCAGTAGAGCAATCGTTGTCATGAGCAGACTCTTCATGAAACTACTGGCTTTGTAGTAAAGCTTTTCGAGCCAACGGTAATTATGCTGAGAATTCGATTTTCGCTCAGGAGGATTCTCCTCATCATTACTTGAGAGATCGTCCCCTGTTTTTAGAATAGTTCAGTTAAAATATTCATAAAATAGGAAACAAGAGCAAAAGCAAAATTGCAATTTAAAGTTATTTAGGAATATTCTAAATAAATCCAAATGCCAAATCTTAAATTTCTCATTACATTTTTCATATGTATTGCAATATATATATATATATATATATATATTTTATAAAAAGATAAAAAATAAATCTAATAAGCTAACTTGAAACAACTCCTTAATATATCCCCTGAAATAAAATCTTCATTTCTAATACATGTAACTAGTTTCATTTTGATTTTTTGTTTTTTTCAAATGGTGATCGGTTGGATCATTAATTAAACAAGCATTGTTAAAATGTTTCTCTGTAAGATATCGTGGCATGTTATGTATGAAAAGTTTTATAATACGGACTTTAATATTTGTAATTTTTAATTATGATTTATTATGATATTAATTATGATTCAATTATTATTTATTGTGATGTTATAACTATAATTCATTTATATGAGTAATGCTAGACACCCCAAATATTCTATCAAAAGTTTTACCAAATGTCTCACATGGGTGTGGGACCTACACAATGTGGGTCCCATGTGGGTCCCACACCCATATGAGACATTTGGTAAAACTTTTGATAGAATTTTTGGGGCTCTAGTATTTTTGTTTTTTTTTTTATATTGGTTATGACTCAAGGTAAAATGAAAAAAAAAAATTACAATTTAAATTATAAAATTAAGAATATGTTTATATATATTTTGTAAATTTCTCATTACATTAAAATGTGGAGACCCCCGATTTGTTTGTGTATCACGATCATCTTCTATTTGTTTTGTTATCAATGTTCATAAATGTAACCTTTTGCAAATCCGAAAGCAATAAATAAATTATGAAAGAGCAGTACTATAATCCAAAATATATACTCATTCTTCAAACTCAATAATGTCATAGTTTATTAGAGGGCTTGTTGGGAAAGTTGGCTATTTTGGTTGATTTTTTGATTATTTAAGATTAAGATTAAAAAAGTATATTATGATTAAATGAATCTTAAAAAATTATTAAAAATATAAATATACAAATTGAAAACACAAAAAAGCTATTTTTAAAAATTGAAAACTAAACAGGATGATTATTGTTAAGACTGTACAATTCCATTTTAAATTATATGCAAGTTACCGTGTGAATTAGTGTTTATTATATATACCAACCATTGTAAAGAATTAAGAGTTGTTTGGAATGACCTAAATAAGTGTACTTTTTGTCTTTTTATGAAAAGATGTGCAGAAAAGGAGAGAGGTAATGTGATGGAAAAAAGATAAAAAGATAAAAAGATGAATTATTTTTGAGTTGCCAAACTTGGCCTAATTCTCGATCAATATGTATATATACTTACAGTCTGAAATCTGTTCAAACGTATCCGCTAGTTTCAGGAAATTCCTTTCCCACTTGGGCTTCTCAGCCGGAATACCTTGCAAAAGCAGAAGGAAATGGTAACCAATATGCCTGTTTAGGTACCTTCTTCAATGTTCTTTAATACTGTTTCTCCAAATTTGATAGTTGAATGTTAGACACACAATCATAATGGTGATTTTTATGTTGTATTTGGTTGATGGATTTGAAAATAAATGAAATATAATTATATTTTATCTATATTTTATATAACTTTTTCTTTTTCTTTTTAAATTTCTTCTCAAATTCATAAATCAAACCCAGCCTTAAAAGTAAAAAGCAGAAAGAAAAAAGGATCAACTAATCAATTAGTAAAACGTATTTATTTGCGATATGTTTGATTCATAGATTTAAGAAGGAATTTAAAAATAGAAATGAAAAAGGAAATAGAAATAAAAAAGTAAGTGACATGTGAATAAATTATAATTATATTTCACTTACATTTCATATATTTTTTCTCCTTCACTTTCTTAACTCCTATATAAATTTATGAAACAAACACCGGGGTTGAGTTTTGGTTGGAATATGCTTACAGTGATAAATGATTTTTTGCAGCAACGTGAACCGACTACTACTGCTACTTCTGAATGCAGAAGGATTGCTGGCTAGAAGATGGAGAGGGGTATTTCCTCGCTCGTCAATACAGTGAACAAACTCTCCATAGTGATTAATTATTAGATAACCCAAATCTGACAATCACAAAAGTATAAGTTCATATTTGTAATTCTCTTCTCATTTTAAACTTATAATAGAGAATCTGCATTACATTATTTACCATAATGATTTTTTTTTTAAATTTAAAATATTAATAAATTTTGATGATTATTTCACAATCTGAAAAACATAGATAGTGTAATTAAGGAAGTTTTGAATGAATGAATTACCAAAATACTCTCCATCGATGGCACAGTGAAGAACAGTGCGGCCATCAGTGTTCCTTCTGCCATAAGTGAAGATTTTGGGATTGTGGGCGAATATGTTGCCTTCCTCCTCCAAGGAGCAATAATAGCAGAGAGCGAAGAAGGCATTTTTCATACCATGGAGTGCTGCCAAGAAGAGAGGAGTCTCACCGTCATTGTTTCGCTCACCCATAGTATCAGGATGAGTAGAAGCAATGGAAACGCACATTCCCGCATTCCCCATCTTTGCTGCGAGATGGAGTGGAGTGTTCCCTCTGTCATCGGCTAATCGCATTACATCAATACTCGCTGCATCAACCATTAGCTGGACTAGTTTGTTTAACTCTTTATCTTGTTTTTCGCTGGCAGCAATATGTAAAGCTGTGTAACCTGAATGAGTGAACCTCATACCTTGTACCTCCATATTAGGATTTTCCTTGTATATTCTCGCAACTTCTCGCCACTCTCGTAAAATGACACTAATGAACAAAGAGGACAAAGGCGAATCCCGCATTATCATTGGCATTGCAAATGCAATCAATTCTTTGTTCACTACTTAGAGAATGAACAATGTAACAAGTACCCTCGATTCTCTAGCAGACTGATATTTATATATATAGCCGAGGGAATAGGGAAAATTATTAGGTATCTGGTCATACTTTGTCACCCATCATCATATTCTTCGATTACTTGACATAAAATCATACTATCTATATTATTCACCAATCATACTAAGGGTCCATTTGGGAAGAGTTTTTTTAGGCTTTTTTAGCTATTTTAGCCACAAAAGACAAAACATCACATACAAACCACAATTATTACACTCTTCTCTCACAAAAAAAGTCAAAAAAACCAAAAAGCTAAAAAGTCCTTCCCAAACCAAACTTTTTAGCCCAGGCTAAAATAGCCAAAAAAGCCAAAAAGCTAAAAAGCCAACCCACTTCCCAAACAAAGGCTAAAATAAAACACTACATGGCCATATTCCCGGATTACCGAATAATCATCCAGAAATAAGAGAGAATTTATTGTTGCTGGCATGTCAAGAAAGATGTTCAAATGCACTCCATCTTTACCAGCCAACTCTGCGAGGGCAACTTTTGGAAAAAAATTCCCTACAAACAAATTTTCAAGAGTAATCAAATCAAACAAATTTTTCTAAAAAAAATCTCAAAATTTTGTTTGGTTATCTACTTTCCAAAATCACTCTCTCTCATACACATCAAATCAATCACTTTTTTTTAAATTCTCTCCCCAAAATAATTTTCTAAAATCATTTCTAAAAAAAGACAAATCAAACAAGTTTTCGTACTTTTTATCTCAAAAACTACTCTACAAACACAAACCAAAGTATAGAGCAAAATATATATATATATTTAATTTTACCTAATCAATTTAATTAGTATACATTATAATCATATTTTTTATTTTAGCTAATCAATTAAATTAATTTAACTAATTTTTAAAAGAAAAATATTATAAATATAGATAAATAAATAAATAAATAATTTTTTTATAACATGCTACATATATTGACGTGACATTTATAAATATATTTTTTAATATATAATTAAATTATTTTTAAATATATATATATTAAATTATTTTTAAAATATATATTTTCAAACAATAGAGAGCAATTTCAGGTGGAAGGAGTAAGTAATTTTAGTGGAAAATCCTTTTGCCTCTAAATGAGAGCTAACTAGTTGTGGAAAGTCAAAATTAAAATGAACATTTTGTCTCTTCTAATGTAAAGTCCCTTAGAAAAGGAGAAAACCAATTATACCAGTAACAAAAATATTTCAGAATGCTCTATTGCCTCTCCTTTGAAGATGATCTTATTTATCATTAGAATTTTAAAACCTTACCTAAAACCTTACCTCAAACAAGACTCGTGTCTAATCAAATGGAGAGGGTCCCATGTTCAAAATTCAAATGATCCCTTCAATTCGTTCCGCTAAGAAAGTGATTTTTTTTTTTTAATTTTTTATGTTTTAAATGATTTATTTTTGTATCAAATTTTTTTACTTTCTGATTTATCTATTATAGAATAATCAAAAAAGTTAAAAATAAAAATTGAAAAAATCTAAAAGAAAATCTTGAAAGTAAAAAAACTATTTGTTGAATTTTTTTTTTTTTTTTTTTTTTTGTCTTTAGTAAACTTTATTCACCAAAAAAAAAAATATATATATATATTTCTAGTTGGTCTAGTCAAATAAATTCTAAAAGTCCAAAGTGGTTTTAAAAAAAAACATAAAAAATCACTAAAGATGAAAAAAATCAACAAAAAAAAATCACTAAATGAAGGATCATGGGTGCGCTTTACATATTTACGGGGAAAAAAATTAAAACAAATAAAGGATAAAATGTTAAGTACTTATATTTTTTTTTCTTTTTAACTTTCTAGTATCTACACAAAGTTTGTTTGAACATATACTTACCAAAAATTTATTTACATAAATTAAGATCTAAAAAATCTTTACAATAATTCAAAGAGATAAAAGGTGATATTGTTTAACAAAATTCAGTTTACAAGAAGAAAAAAATCACCAAAAAAAAAAAAAATCTAAAACTTTGCAGCAAAGTATAAATTGAAAATTACTAATAAATCTTGCATAATCAAACTTATTTACAATAATATCCTCCTCAACCATTTAATCTTATTATTTTGAACTCCATATAATCTCTGCATTAAGGGAAAAAGCGCACACACACACACTGAGGCCGTTGCTCATAGTCGGGTAAATTTGTCTACCACTCTAACCGATGCTTTATTTGATTTGATATTTATTTTTATTTTATTTATTATTATTTTTTTGTTTAGATTAGTGGGTGGTTAAGATAGTATTATAATTTTGGAACTCATAAAAGGTCTTCGATTTCACTATCCTTAATTTCAGGGGAGTTAGGAAAACTAGCTTAAATTTTTAGAGCATTTGATAATTACAGACAAAGCTCGTGTTAGCTATATCAATTACTATACATTATACTTTTGTATGGCCTTGAAGCAACTACTTTGTTCAAGGCTAGCTTCTTTTTCTTTTCTTTTTTTTGTTTTGCTTTAGGAAAGTTGGTAATCAGAATCTGTTGGATTTATTTTTCTAGTGTGGCCCAATAGTTTACATATTTTCTACATGTTTTTAATTTATTTGGACTCCACAAATAGATAAAGCCAATATTTGAGATCAAGTTCAGTAATTAGAATTTTAATATAATCACTCTTCTAAGATAAGAAGGAAACCTTGATGGATTAGGAATTCTTCTGATAAAGTTTATCTGACCCTCTTCTCTCCTCTATATAAGGATGGGTGACTCCCCTTCTTTTGATATTATTCCATCACTCTAAGTTTTATAGTCATCCTAATAAAGTGAGAGACAGAGAGAAGAAGGTGAACCAAGAATTAAAGGTTCAACTATTAGGGGTATTTTCTCAACTTCTCTAATTCAATAGCTAACAAAGGTATGTTCGTTTTATTCTTGAGTTATATTGAATTCAAGATCCTGTAAAATTTAATTCCACATTATTATTATGGTTACATGTATTATTAAATCTTACATGTGGTATCAGAGCTTTAGTTTGTGAATCAATACACCTTGGAATAATAATATATTTATGAATATTGTTATTATAGTTATAATTATTCATAACAACATATTTTTTGTCCATAAGGTTTGAACTCTCGGCATGTGTTGGTTATCTTGAATATACGCTGTATGTTCAACCTTGTAAGCTGCATGCCATATTTATTAGGCAGTGTCTGAATGGTACATCTAATCTCTTTCATATTCATTATGCATCAAAGAAACTCTTTTTGTGTTGTTAAAAGTCAAAGGTTGTGTGAAAGAAGATCTTACACAGATCTACTCAACTATAACAAAATAGAGATATTTACCAATAAATCTCATCTCACAAACAAGTACTCTAATTAGTCCAAAGTTTTTTCTATTGATCTATCAAGTCCTATTAGTGGAAAGTTACTTTCCATGTGGTCTTATTTTTTTATTTTGGTAGTGTTTTGGTAGACAACTATACCCTTTTATTAATGTGACATGTATAGTGTGATACTCCAATGTGGTAGATATTAATGTGACACCCTAAGGATGTGACACTCCAAAAAAATTAAAAACTTCTTAATGTACTTTTTTCAAATGTGATAACGTGGCATGTATGATGTAACACTTCAAAAAAATAAAAACTCCTTAGTGTATTTTTTTCAAACGTGACAACATGACTGACATAATATGACACTCTAAAAAAAAAATTAAAAAGTCCTTAGTATACTTTTCCCAGACATGACAAGTGACACTCCAATGTAGCGGGTATAATGTAATACCAAAAAACTCTTTAATATACTTTTTTTAAATGTGACACTCCAATATGGCAGGAGAATATTTATTAATCAATCTCCTAACAAAATATCAAAAACTTTCAAACTCTAAAATTATTTTCAAAATATATCAGTAAACAAATCAAAAAAATTTCTTACACGTGTATCACGTGTATGTTATATTGCGCCGGTGGATGATAGGTGGAAATATGTTTGCATGGCGCTGGTGAATGACAGCTGGAAATTGTCCAACACCTGTCTATCACGTGTCTGTTATATTGCTAACATTTTCTATTTAACACTCACAAAACGCTTCAAAACGTTGAGCATTGATCAAACATACAAGTAACAAAAAATAGAAAAAAATTGTAGAGACAGAAACATGGCGGAAATTCGATTCATTTCCGTTGATCTAGTCCAAGCGACTAGTCACCACCATGGTGAATCAACCCATCATAGGATTGAGTTGACGCCATGGGATCTCCAACTTATCTTAGTTTGCCCTATCCAAAAGGGTCTTATCTGCCTCAAACCCACACCGACACCATCACAATCACAACAACATCAACTACCACTATCACTGCTAGCAAACACCATAATTGATCATCTCAAGATCTCATTTTCTCGCGCACTTGGCTTCTTTCCTCTCCTCACTGGCCGTCTCGGTACCATAAAAAATGACGACGACACCTCCTCGTTCTTCATAGACTGCAACAATGCCGGGCGCAATTCGTTCATGCCATCGCTGACAATGTCACTGTCAGCGATATCCTCGGTCCCGTGCACGTACCTCGACCTGTCCATTCTTTTTTCCCTCTAAATGGTTACCTTAACCATGAAGGCATTTCCAAACCATTGCTTGCGGTTCAAGTGACTGAGCTCGTAGACGGCTTCTTCGTGGGCTGCACCTGTTGGATTTATTTTTCTAGTGTGGCCCAATAGCCTACATATTTTCTACATGTTTTAATTTATTTGGACTCCACAAATAGATAAAGCCAATATTTGAGATCAAGTTCAGTAAATAGAATTTTAATATAATCACTCCTCTAAGATAAGAAGGAAACCTTGATGGATTAGGAATTCTTCTGATAGAGTTTATCTGGCCCTCTTCTCTCCTCTATATAAGGATGGGTGACTCCCCTTTCATATCATGAGTTTTTTTCCATCACTTTAAGTTTTATAGTCATCCTAATTAAGAGAGACAGAGAGAAGAAGGTGAGCCAAAATTAAAGGTTCAACTCTAAGGGGTATTTTCTCAACTTCTCTAATTCAATGGCTAACAAAGGTATGTTTTATTCTTGAGTTGTATTGAATTCAAGATCTTGTAAAGTTTAAT